CTTGAATCTCTCCCTAGGCTAGAACTAGTATCTGTGAACACTCTCATAGATGTTTTCATGCATTGAAAGCTCCAGCCAAGAGAGACGCAAATCTTGGGAGGCAAGTAATGTCTATAAGAACTCTAACATTTAAAGGAACTCTTTCTCTGGCTCATCAAAATTTATGAGTGAGCCTGGATTGGCATCACATCAGCCTATCCTAAATTGAGTCCTGCCTTTACTGTAGAGACAATATTGGTTATTTGGACAGCTGCATAAAGCAGAGCAGACAAGTGGCCTGCAGGGAAAGTCTCCTGCACGGTCCTACTGATAGAAAAGTCACAACTTCATTCAAGCCTACGGCCTGCACCTTCTCTACTCTTTTTTCCATTGGGTCCCCCTTCTACCGTGAGCTGGAGCTGGAAAAGGGCCTCGTGAGATATTAAGGGCAGTGTTGAGGGAGGAGGGACCTTACAGCCAGTGAGGCTAAAAGCAGTGTAACAACCTGTGAGGTGGGAACACAACCAGCAGTTTTCAGGTGACTCCCTTAAGAAGCAAAAAGCCTGTTGGCACTCATGAGATGAGGGAAGGAGGGAGAAGCAGAGAGACGAAGGCAGGGTGATGGCTAGGGAACAGCAAAGCAGTAAGAAAGGACGGCATACATCAAGGATGTAAAGGAAGATTGAGATAGACAGTTTGGTGCCTCCAGAGAAAGACAGAGGACGTCAGCAGGTAGGATTCAGACAGAAGTGGCGTGCTCATGTCTATGCAGCCATGCATGTAGAGGGGTCTTGGGAGAACAGAGGAAAGGACAATACCTGTGGATCCATTGCATGGTGGAAAAGGAGCAGTATTTGAAAGGAGAGAAGGGAAATACAGGAAATTTGGAAATAAGAGCTGAAATACTAGAGGAGGGGGAGATGTTTAGACCTTTAGAGGCACACAGAAGCAACTCACACTGATGGAGCGTTTGGCACAACAAAAATTATTTTCCTCTGACTTTGTGGGCAAAATGAGTTCACTGACTGGCAACTCCCTTCCGACCACCTTCCCAGGATAACACAGCTTTTACTGCTTGATCTGTTTAGCTCAGTGTTATGAATCTCACATCTGAGTTGTGACCCTCTCTCAACGTGTAACAGCCTGTATTTTCTAAGACCCCTGTCAGGAATGGCTGGGCTTTGCAAGGCATGTGCGTCACATTTAGCCATTCCTGCTTCAATTCCAAAATCAGCAGGGCACAAGCACAGGTGAAGGAGGAGGGGAAGAACAGAACTACGTGGCCAGGCTTTCACAGCAAGAAAGGAACCGCTGCGTAGGCAGCCTGGACCTGAATTTTAATTAGCCCCTTTTCTTCTGAAGGGGCTAATACAAATGGAGAACTCAGACATTGATCTGGCAGGTGGGAGCAATGCAGGTATGTCAGGGCAGGCTAGTTTTCTGGGAGAACAGGACTTTGGAAAAAAAGAGTGGCTGCAGTAGAGTTAGACGTGCCCAGGCATCTCCTAGGAGTCAGTCATGCTTTCCTATGCCATCTGCAAACTGTGAAAGACTTTTCACATGTAGATCATTTAATGTTGCCCGATGCATCAGCCATATGTTTTACAGGTACACCACTCTCTGGAGAAGTAATTTATTTCCTCAGGACACTAAGACTGCTACAGCCCATGAAGAGTGTCTTCTGTGTGACAGCCCCAGAAGGTGAGCATTTAGGGTGGTGGTCGCTTAGTCAAACGAGGGTCCTGACTATCCCACAGTAGCCTCTGGAAAGACAGTTCAGGGCTCATGTGTCCAACAGGATGGGTTAAATAGCAGCAGCATGGGTTCAACCGGCTGGGAGTGTGAGCCAGGTAGTTCTCTGTAACGTACCAAGAAGGACGATGCGATCTGCTGGCTTTGCCACAGTGAAGAGCTCCAGCACAAGCCAGTATACTAAGGGCTTTGTAGTACTGCTAGTGGTCAGGCCAACAGGATCAGTCCTGATGTTCCTCTCTAGTACATCTGCAATGCCTTCACCATGGGAAAAAGGGCAGGAATCAGCTTCATTTCAAGTGGGAATATGCAGACTCTGTCTCCACTCTTGCCTCTCCCCATCCCTGTGTTTGGAGGCATCCATGGGCAAGCACTTGTCCTCTGCAACTCCTGCTCAGTGTCATCTCCTCAGAGACCAGTGCCAGTTAGGGCCAGCTCTGAGAACAGTTCTTGCAACACGTGCCTGTCTTAGGTGGGTGGCCAAGCCATTGGCCAGCTGGGATATAAAACCACTCATCCTTTCTACAGGTAGACTCAAGGGATACTGTGTACCACCGAGGAGCTAATCAATTAAAAGCTTCCTAAGACAGAAAACCCTATGGTGAGTATTCTTGGTGTTGGTTTTTTGTTTGTTTGTTTGGTGGGTGTTGTTGTTAAAATGACTGCCGAAACAATATATTTAACCAGCAAAGAGTAAACAGGGAATTGATAATTATGAAGCAGAACCCCCCCCAAAGATTAGCCTCTGGTGCTATAATCTTTTAAGCAAAGGCTGCCCTCATTTACACTGAGAAAATAAACACCGGAAAATAAATGTGATCAGCTTGGGATGGAGTCATGAATTTAACGAGCCTCATCTATCTCCCATTTTTGTGATTGTGCTCTGCGAGACATTTCAGTTTGGTGGCTGCAGTCTCCTATGCGAAAGCTAAGCCCAAGATGCAGTGCACGGCTCCTGAGGCTCACTTAATCTTAGTTAGACTGGCAGGGAGAATGAAAGCGGTGTCAAGGGTGATACACAGCAGGCCTGCCAGAGCTGCCCGCTGCCTGGTACCAAAGGAAGAGATCCTCAGCCTTATCAGATTTCCTTGATAAAGACTCTGCACATTCCTAAGGAGGGGCTGAGGACCAGGCAGTTGGATAACCCAAAGCTCTGGGCAAGCGATGTGGGACAGGCCAAAATGTCTTTGATCAGTCGAAAAGAGAGAAAAAAAACACCACAAAAAAACCCACCATCCCCCATATGCTCTCCAACATTGTGCTGCTGGGAGGACGTGACTGAGTTAGGAGTTAAGAATTCCTCCAGAGCAAAAATGCTGACCAGACAACCTATCCAACAGTGCATTTTAAAAATAGCGTCCAGTTAATGCTGGTTTGTTTTTTTTAAAGCTGTGTTCTTATTACTGCTAATGGCAAGAAAGAGCACTAAAATAAAGGCTTTTATAACTGGGTGAGCTTTGCACTATCCTTGGTTCTTGCCTCTGCCGGAGCAGGTGATAATTATGCTTTTGTTTAGGATAAGCATTATTCTTAGATTTTCTCATTCATTTTTCCAGTGGTTTTAAACCTGTGATCTCAACCTTCTAGAATTTTAGAGACTATTTCTAAGGGGTCCAAACCAGAAACAAGCATGTTATCACCAGGTGTAAGTTTCTTCTGAAATTTCCTCAACTGAAAATTGCAAGGGTCCATAAACCCCAAAAGATTGGAAAAAGTACCACCAGCTTGGTTTATAAGCCTTGTAGAGGATTACAAACACTGCAAAACAAGAGTAGCATTGTGATCTAATTGAAAGTGTTTGTATGCTGAGCATAGTAGCCCGTAAAATAAAAAGACAGTATTTTACTATCTAGGATTGCAATATGGAAGTACCATTAACAATAGAGAATTAAAAGATTATGTTTTCTGCATTATTTCATTCTGGAAGATTATAAGACAAAAGAAGAAAATTAAAAGGCACGTACTAGAATTTTCTCCAAAGTAGAAACTAGCTGTGACCTCTTTAATATATTAAATGAATTAATGCATTAAAACTTCCTCCCCTCGCCCTCGACTGTCCCTGTGGGAAGCAAAATTGTGCCATCTAGTGGGATTTAGACCAAGCCGTGGCTGTGCCTTCCCACTGGACACTACGGACACCCAACAGACCACCTCCACTTGAATCTGTTTGCATTATAGGATGGACTTTTTTGGATTCCGCTTTGCTCCCAAATTCAAATCCCTCCTCTGCTACAGCTGCAGGAAGGGTCTGTTCGCCCTGCCAGGTTTAGGGGCAGGAGGACTTTGTGTGCTCAGAAGGGGAATACTCAAACGCTCAGTCAGGACTTGCAGGATGGCCAATGTGTCACGAGCAAATGGACGATGCAACTTCACAAAGGCAGGCTTTGAAAATAGGGGAAAGCAGGGGAACATAGCAAGGCTGGCTGGCTAGGGGGAAACTTTTTGCTCCTCGAGCTGGGCAGCACTGGCAAGGCAAAATACTTCACACAAAGGCTGGGGGTTTTTTTGCAGGCGACAGAAGAGGGGAGGGGAAGTTGCTTTTTCATGTATCTGCTCAATCCATGCTAATTCTTGGCTTCTGAGTTGATGGGAAAGATAGGGAAAAGTTATTTTCATGACTATGACTTGGTAAATTTGAAACACCAAAGCCTCAGGGTTCACTACAGATGAAGACTCTCTCGCTTGCCAACTAGCCAGCAAACTTGGTTTGCTATGCTGCAGGGCTATAGAGCTGGTGTATACAGACGACGCTGTAACACAAGCAATCTCATTTCCTAGCACACTTTTGTAACCTTAGTTAAGCAACAGGCCTAATATAGATTTCAGTACAATCTTTTAGTCTTTGCCCTTTGTGGATCAGTGTATCTTTATGCCAGTCAGTCATTTCACCACTTGCAATTTTTTTCTTCCATGCTAGTGATAGGAGAAAGCCATATAATTTACGACTGCAATACTTAATTCAGTCCAAGTGTTGCAAGTGACTTATGTACCTATGTAATAAAACCTGACAGGTGTCCTTTGGGAGCACTCGTTATTGCCTCAGTCATAACAGGTGAATGAGTAACAACTCTGCAAGGAGTTTTCAGTAGCTGTACAAGTAAAGTTCACTGGCCAGTCCTCAAATAATTAACAACTCTTTCCTCTACAAATACAGTGAGAAGTGACCTTTTCCAACAAAACTTAAGCTGGTTTTCTCCAACTCAAAGCATCCCCTGGAATAACTGGATCAGCTCTGCCCATCTCAGACCTTTTGTTTCGTATGAATCAACATGGAAAGGAATCTTAAGAATGTTTTGGTCATTTCTTTTGGATTTTTACTTCTCTTCACAGCTTATGGAGGACTCCAGAATCTACAGGTAAGTGGACCATCTCCCATTGGTTGGCAGGACAGTTGGCCTCTAAGGACATCAGGCCAGCTAGTAGTGTGAAACCCACCAGTCTTTCCACAGTTTCTGTGAGGAAGGCATGCGCAGTATTTTTTATAAAGTGGGTTAGGACATCAACTTGGTGCAGGTTAGTATTCCCCACCCAGATCCATAGCATTTACTAAATATTTTATTCTAATACTTCTCAAATAGTTTGAATACTTGTGTCAGACTACTTCTTTAGGTGCATAAAAGTTGTTTGAAGGAAAACTATATTTCTCTGAGATTTTTCTCAAAAGAAGATATTGCAAAATGGAAAACAAATTCCATTTCTAGAAAGGATTTGTTTTGACTATTTCTAAATTGCTATAATTTTATTATTATTATACAGCAATGTAGAATAATAAAAATGTATGTCCAATTCATTAAATAATTTAAGTATAAAACAATACAATAATTCCTGGCATCATGATATAACATAATAATAAAAAATATAATTTTAAATCAAGGGCAGCTGTGGCTTGTATTGGCATTACCATTTTAGAACACACTAGCAGAAATGGTTTTTCTAGAATGACTTGAACACTCAGGATACCATCAGAGCTCACTTGTTTAGCATAGCCAAAATAAAAGACTGAGGGTTACTCTTGCTGTCTGTGAATACTTCAGAGTAGATAAACCCAAGGAGGAACTTCTCAGACTAGAAGACTCTGCTGGTCTAATGATAAATAAATGGATATAAGCCACCCATGAGCAACTTTAGGCAGGATATTAAAAGATGACCCTGATCAATCAGGTTGTATTTTGCCACTGGTGTAGGAATCTGTATGCTTTAAAGGCGGAGCTTGATACATAACATGATGCACTTGTTTGCAATAACAAGGGGTTGACCTCATTTCAGAAAGAGGTCCCTGCTAGCTCTGTACATCTGTCTTCTCCTCTCCTTGAGCAGTTTCTGTTTGCTGACACCGTCAAATTCCAAGTTCAGGGAAGTTCTGCAAAAACAGTTCCAAAAAAATGGATGGAGATGTTATGACCTGTGCAGACTAATGAGGTAGGGGAAGATAAACCCAAGAAGCCGTGAGTCAGCCCCACCATCTGAAACCATGCATGCTCAGGTTAAGTGCCGGAACATAAAGCCTCCCCTAACGCTGCGGGAGGGAGTAGTGCTGATTCACAAAGTAGCCCTTTTCTCTCTCCGTTTTGTCTTGGTGGTTAAAGAGGACTTGCTGAAACGCAATCAAAAGTAGGTTATTTTATTGTATTGTAGACTGCAGGAGAAGCTTGAAAAAATTTCATCATTTATTTCAACATCCCCCTTCCTCCCCCAAAAAAACCCAACCAGTAACAATTAAGCTAATCATACGATTTTGGAGGCCTGGCTTCTAATTTTTGGAAGCTGTAGTTGACAAAACCAGGCATGTGGTGTTTCAGAAATAAGACCTCTGTGATCAGGAAGCCTCTTTGCCTGTTTACAAAACAACCATTCTGATTCTCAAACATGTTGACACTGCTCGACAGAGAACCTCCTCACCTCACTGTCCTGATTATTGCTTCTCTCCAAGGGTGCTGCACGGTTGCCACCATGGTCCTGCACGGCCGGACCACGCAGCCACCACAGGGCTTGGAAGTGTCCAGTGTGGCTACCAGCAGCCTCGATCTCCTCCAGTGCTCTCCAGTGCTACCCCACAAGCATCCATCCCCCCTTCCAAAATCGTACTGGATTGCATCAGCTTCTAATGAAAACAAACAGGAAAATGTTGATAAGCAGCATCTCGATGTTCTCATTGCAACTTTCACAGTATCAAGACGAGAGGACAACTGTTCTGAGCATAAAAATATAAAACCTGGTTAGATCAGTAAAATGTTTTGCCTCCCTTGTGAAAATGTGGGTGAATCAGTTACTTCCAACTACAAAGGGCTGCTGTGAGCATATTAGGATATTTGGACCTTGGCCTCTGAAGAATTTAAAAATTATCAGACCTGTAGTTTAAAGCAAAGAATATTCCACTGTTGCTAAGTCAGCCCTTCCAATGCAGATCTGAGGATATTCCTGCCTGAGACAAAAACTGAAGGCCAGGAAAAGAGGTTATCCTTCATTCAGCTTGCTTTCAAAGAGAAACTCAAATGAATTACATTAAATAATCTAAAGTCTGACTTACCAAAGCTTTGAATCTGAGCAATCCTCACCTGGTTTTGCATCATATTTTCACAAATGGGCTATCATTGTGAGGAAAACCGTAAATCCATAATCAGGCTGCTTTGGGGAAAGGAGACGGTAATACTCAGCCCCAGCTTCTCTGTCTCTCTATTTCTGCCTAAAGCCCCTCTCTATACGCCATAGTAACATGTGCCTGTGATAAAGTTTGTCTCAGCCACTGTTTTTGTCCATGCAGAGCAGTCTCCACTCAGAAGAAGGCCTAGGCGTTGCTTCCCTAAGCGTTCTCTATGCTGCGCTCATCTTATCATCCATGTTCCTCCCTCCGATCCTCATCAAGAAGCTGGGCTGCAAGTGGACCATCACGGGTTCTATGTGCTGCTACATTGCGTTCTCCTTAGGGAACTTCTACGCTAGCTGGTACAATTTAAATGCTTTATCCCTGCCTATTGTGTTTGAACAAAATCAGTAAGGACAAAGTTCTTTTTCTTCTCAATTCCTACTCTACCTCTGTGTTGCGGATTTGAGAGTTGGATGCAAAAGGTGTTACCTGCAAGAAACAGGGATAAATAAATCCAGCAGCAAATGAAGCAGAGAGGTGAAAGGCAGAATGAATGTATCCATCTGCCCACCTGAAGCTGCTTCTCTAACTCATGTGTATAGCAGTGATTTCCCTTCAGAAAAAAAATTAAAAATCAGAAGTTTCATTTAAAATCCAAATGACTTCTAGGACTATTTTTTAAAAGATTGAAGGGAAGGCTCTCTTCCAGCCAGTGGCTCTGGGAACAGAGGACCACAGGAGGAGGCCAGCTCCTGCCTTGCCTTTTTGGAGGTGGATGAACAACTTCTGCTCTCCAGTGACAGGGGACGCAACTGTGTGGAGGAAAGTTGTTGTGATTCATCTTCGGAAGGGCAGGTGCAATTTAATTCTCAGTTACAAGAGGATGAGGCACATGAGCACAGCCTAGGCCTAGCCCCTGGGCACAGCTGGGAGTGCTTGCACATCCTAAACTTCATGAGACTGTCCCTTTCTTGGTTCCGTGTAACAGATTCACTGAATCACACAAAGGATAAATCTATTTCTTTGATGTCTATTTTTGCCTCTGGATCTCTGGGCAAATGATTATTATGCTAATGGATAAAAACTATGCTAAATAAAGCGTTCTTTGGCAGGTACACACTAATCCCTACCTCTGTGATCCTGGGCTTAGGAGGAGCACCACTATGGTCTGCCAAATGCACTTACCTCACCATTGCTGGCAATTCATATGCTGAGAAAGCAGAAAAAAATGGGAAAGACATTATCAACCAATACTTTGGGGTCTTCTTTCTGATATTTCAGTCCTCCGGCATCTGGGGAAATCTTATCTCATCCTTGATATTTAGCCAAGCTTCCACCAAAGGTAAAATGTATTTTAAAATCTTCTTGTTTCTTTCTATAAACACCACCTAGTTCTAGATAGTTAAAAGGTAGATTTCTGGAGCTAAGCTGGTGACACTCAGTTGCCTTCATAGTCGGTGGAAACAGGCACTTCAGATGTGAGGGAGCTTATCTGAAGGTAGATGTCTGAAATAGATGGGCTAAATTGCTCTCTGAAGTGCCTATTTTCTATCAACTCTTCATCAGCTATAAAGAGACTCCAGACAACTAGCTCAAAAATAGATGTCAATTGAATTCCTTTTGAGTTCCACCCCTGTGTTATAAAGCATAGATAGGCTGCTGGCAGTGACAGTCTTTCACGTCTGACTTCCATTTAAAGTGAATTAAAACAAAAGGCGAAACACTGAAGCAGCCTTTTCACAAAGCTTGTAGCATTGGATTAATTTGCTGTTAAACATTCAAGGTTAGTCAAGCTGACGCTGATGCTTGCTGAAAACGAGTCCTTTACAGAATTGTCAAGAAGAAATTGAAGTAGCTGTTGGCAGGAGTCTGCATGCCAGGGCTCCTCTGCTGTATTTCAGGCTCAGAGAGCAGATGCTGATGTAGCTTGAAGAAATCACTCAAAAGCACTGCCCTCATTTTCCACGTTTGCAACTGATGTAAGCTTTAAAGTTGTGAAGAGAAATTAATACTTGGACGCCACCTTAGAGATTCAAAGTGCCACAGTGCATCATCATTGCAGTCTCCCCTGCATTCCCTATCCTGTCAAAGTCGGAACGGGATGGACATGGAAAGAGCTTTCCATACACGTTGCTACTATGAATAGCAAGAAGTTACCTCTCTTCCCTGGCTCAGTTAAGCAGTATGTCCTCTGGAGGGTATTCGAATAGGTATTAGGTTAAAACTGACAGGGAGCTGGCATCAGGTTTTACTCTTTGAATTCCTGGGTTTATGGCAAAGTAGTTGTCACAAGGTGTGATACTTACGGAGGATCATGCTTCCTTTAAACCCAAGCAACTATAGATGAAACACCATCAAAGCGGAATGCTGAAGGACTGTATCAAGTGCAACAGAGCCCTGCTGACCTGATCACTGAGCCACACGATGTCTAGGGAGGGACTGCCTGTTCTGATTTCACTTGCAGGGTAGGGGCTGTGGTACAGCTGTGGGGTCTGCAGCAGACTGTGACCATGTTACTCTCCTCTGCCTCACAGCACACATCATGTTAATAAGAGGATTAAAATACTCCTTTTTTTTTAATTTTTTTTGTCTTGTAAATCCCCCCCTAGTTTTACATCTGATGATATTCCTCTAAATTCTAAAGAAACCCTTTTACTTATTTTTTTATCAATTACATTAGATTTCAGAAAATGCTGTGTTCCTGGGAGGTGTGCTGTGAACAGCTCTCAAAGCCAAAGGCCTTGAATATCTTCACAGGAGTCATGAGCAGCCATACCATAAGCTTCCCAACTGTGCCTTCTCAGTGAGACTCAGCTTTAATCTAGAGGGAGCTTCTTGGGGGGCAAGGGGGTAAGGATGTCCACTCACTCCCTTCTTTTCCTCTCCTCTGACAGTGCAGGAAAGTTATCCACCCATATTTTTCATATACTTAAAATGTGTAATTTCACTGAGCAGTTGGAAAGATATGGTATGTATCTGCAGAATCAAAATGCATAAAATTCAGACACATACGTACACTTGACATACTGCCTGCATCATTGCATCCAGACACAGCAAGGCAAGCTACACCATGAGGTAATACTACAACAGAAGGCAGTAATCAATGTAAATTACAAGAATCATCCTTTCTCACTCATCAATATTGCAGCTTTATTTCCAGAGGAACAGAGCAAACCTTGCCTTGCAGCTTCCATATCACTAATTGCATGTGCATCTTCATCTTCAGATGATGATGCATGGACAGATAAAAAACTTGTTTTACACATTTCCACACTTTACTAGCGTGACTCACCTTTTGCATATGGTAATTTTGCTGAGCGTGTGTTTATTCAAAACTGTGTAGCTGTAGCCACTGGCTATAATAAGGTAATGATTTTCTTTATGTTTTTAAGTTTTATCTGATGTTGAACCTAAAGTTGTTTATGAAGCTAGTTAAACAGCTGATTCTCATTGCAGCAGCTTTGATTAGAAGCAATGGGGAAAAACACACTAAAAGTAGTTACACAATAACCCTAATTGAAAAATTACAGATCAAGTTCTGTTTAAGAAATCAGCCAAGTTACACTGTATTGCCCTTTATTATGCTTGGACCAGTGACAAATTCTGCAGTGAAAGCATTGAAATATTTGTACTGTTTTTTGATCATCCCTCCCCACTATACAACTTATTCAGGCTCACGCTTTGGGTTAATATTTTTTCTTTACAGAAAGGGTGCTGGAGGAAGTGGGCACGGTGTTGTGGTGACACACAAGGTGCATGTGTGTCATGCATGTGTGTGGCTTTGACACATGCCCAACACAACACTGATGAGATTGAACAAAGCGAAGGTCTTACTTCAAACCCTGCCAAACTGTTCTAGTTTCAAGTCTGTTCTCAAAGAGTAATAAAGCCAGTAATAAAGTATCAAAGCCAGGAAAAGCTGTTTTCTTGGAAGACCGCATTAGTGGGTAATCGTAATACAAATTTATAAAACAAAAAGATGTCTTGAGGTGGTTTCCATTCCTATAACATACACAGAAATTATATGGAGAGGGATAACATGCTCTGGCTGTAAGAACTGAGGTCCATCAGTTCAGTGGTGGCGTAAACTGAGGGAGCTGTCTGGTGGGGTATTATGATTAAGAGGTACAGATACACACTGGAACTTTAAATACTGTAAATTAAGCTTGGATTCAGATTTCAGCCTCCGGCTTTAGTCCATGTCTCCACAAAACCATGAATTCAGTGTTGTCTCTTGAGCAACTGTTTCTGTTAAACCAAATTTTTGTGTGTTAAACTGGGATTCTGAAGTTAAACATCTCTAATCAGGAAGGATTTGAAACCAGGACCAATCACCAAGTGCTGGGTTCCCTTCTTATATGCTTACACTTAGTGTTCACTCATCTGATCTTTTCCCTGACCTGCCTTTCTTTTGGTTCTTACTGAATTAGTGGAAATCTCAGAAGAAAACCTGGCATGCTGTGGCGCATATGACTGCATGACTGATACCAGTAACACCACTGGGCCAGCAGAACCCTCCAACTCCTTAATCTACACTCTGCTAGGGATCTACACTGGTAAGTAATCCACACAATCTTTAATGAGTATCACTGATGGGGAACTTACTACTTCAGGGCATGGTTTAGTGGGCAACTGGTTGACAGTTGGACTCATTGATCTTAAAAGTCTTTTCCAACCTAAACGATTCTACGATTCTATGATTCTATACTTGTGAAACCTAGCATGACTGCAGATTAAGTTTCCAACTTATTCCTTCAATCCAATTTGCTAGAAGGAAATAAGATATGTGAAAGCTGTAAACAACTCCTTCCTAAATAGTTTCAAATGCTTTGTGCCAGTGCTGTATCATTTTGGCTAAAGGAGCAAGACATTCTTTACACTTTTCACCTGTAATAAAGCTGAAGCCCAGTCTGGTGACCCCACTGTTTCACCCAAAGTCAGTGTTGCTCTACAGACTAGAACCAAAAGTATGCCCACATTGCAATTAGAGGATTAGAGCAGCTTATCCAGTTATGCATGAGACAGTTTTAAATTCACTATCTTCAGGATCAGCAATATCGAACTGGTTACTGATGGCATTGGGCAGATTTATATATGCATGCAGAGGCCCAAGATGCTAAGAGCAGCCCAGCTAGTGGTACTTCAACTCACCAACTTCTAGTCATCTGGGGCTGCCTATCAGAACTGGCTGATGTCCTACCATGTGTAAAACAGTTTTAGCACAAGAACTGCACTGTAATTAGAGGTGGACCTGAACCACGGCTCCAAGAACATGCAGTCATTTGGGGGGAGTTTTTTGGATCCCTGCTGAGATTTTACAGCTTCAGTCAATTCTCAGCTGTGATGCTTGAATTATAATACCTTAGCATGAAATGCAAAGATAAGGAGAAGCACTAGGCGAATTGGCATGTCTCCCATTTAGTAACTACAGCTGCTATAGACCTTCCTTGCATAAGGCTAGAAAGGAATCAAAGACAGGGAAGGCTGATGCCATCAAAAATTGGAAAGACAAAAATAGATGTGCAAAGATTCGTTCAGTGAGGAAAGTTCAAAAAGTATCCGGCTCAAAACAAGTTACTCTCTGGATAAAGGGGAAGTATCTGGCAAAGCAATACGTCACCTTAGCTCTGTTAAAATATCTTTGCAGTCTCTGCACATAGATGTACTCTCTATGCTGAGACAGATGCACAGAATTTGTCATACGCTCAAACAGAGAGCGTGTGATCTGGTCAGAGCCAGCCCTCACCCTGCAAGGGCATCGCAGCAAACCTTCTGTCCTTCCCCAAGCTCCATTCCTAATTGGTGAGAAAATGCAAAGAATATCCCCCCACTTCCCTTCCAGAGTGTGCTGGAGCTGATGCTTTTCTGCTAAAGGCAGGTGTGGCTCACAAGTTTATATTTAAATTTGATGACTAATGTATACAGCACTCCCTTAGGCTTTGCTCATGCAAAATGAATGCAACCCTGCTCTCTACTGACCCCGCGTCAGTAGGGTTTCATTTTTCTTTTAAGCTCTTAATAAAAGATATGTCTTTTCCTACCTTGAGGGAAACCAAATAGCCAAATATTTCATTCACAGGCATTTTTAAAATGTCTCCTCTATTTGGTTGCTGAATACATATTTTGCCCAGCTTGAGTGCAGATAATAATGGATAAGTCTTTTGTTGTTTAGTTTTCTCAAGGACTGTGGATGTTTTTATTTATGTTCATACCAGCCACTATAAAGCCATGCAGTTACTTATCTCCTATAATTGCTCTTGATTCATTTGGCATATTTGTTAGAATATTTGTCCTGTAAACGTGGATGTCCTGGTCTCGCCCAAGTCCTGCAATCAGCCCATAAGCACTAATAAACACCCTGGCAGAACCAACAATGACTTACATCATGAAGGGTTTAGAGCTCAGCCACAGTGGAGAACCAGGACACTGGAGAATACAATTTCATTCTAGGAGACATGGATGAGAAATAATAAGCAATAAAAAATTGAGGCAATTTACTGTAAATCTGCTAATGCATTTGGACGTTAAAAGTTCACAGAAAAAAGCATGCCCATACACAGTAACATGGGAGTACATTAAAAGGGCAGTGTGGATGGGAAGAGGTGCTTGGTTCTCCTCTTACGCTGAACTCCACTTGTTTCCATGGATGGAATTCTAGTCAGCATAAGTAAGAGAGGAAACATAATCATGCCTTGCATCGGTAACGAAGCAGTTGTGTACCTGTGGCTGCCTCATGTATATTATGAGACACAGTTATCTTCCTGATAACGCGAATAAAACCGTATTGATTTACTCTACAAGTAACAAACCTAGACTGATACATACATGATCATTTTCTGATTAACTACCCCATGTATTCTTTCATGTGCTGCTTCTGCTAGGAAATTATAGGTTCAAAGCTGTAACTTCCGTCTTTTTCAAGTCACTCAGAGTTGCTCACTATCATCTTTAAAATAGCACATATTCCATACTCACAGCATGGCCCTGAGCTGACCGAAAAAAACCCCAAGCAAAAAGCAACATATACTGGGATCCAAGACAGCAGTTCTACTTCTAGCCCTTTATTTTTCTTTCCATGTGTTTGAAGGAAGATCCCCCCTAGCCATGAAAACCTTGGCAGTGGAAGTGAATATTCCTCTCTCGTGTTGATTTAAAGCCTTTTGATAGCTCCCGAGGGAGCTGTTTCTGGCCAGCTCCCCATCCCTGCGACCCCTGGCTTGCCCTGGAAGGGTGAGCAATCACCCTCTGTGGCCGTGCAGCTGGCCCGGCGGCTGTCACAAGACAGGCCAGTCACAGTTAAGCTGAGGGGATCTGCGAGGTGCACAGCTGTATGCAGAAGATGCGAATGTAGATCAGGCCTTCTTGTTTACACAGAAATGGCCTTTACACTGAAGCGGAATCAAAGGCATCGGCCAAAACATCCCACAGAGCTAAGCACTAAGTCAGAACAATAACAGCAGCAAGCGACTTCCCATCATTCTTCCAGCATTCCTCAGTTTTTCATGAACTTTTTGTTTTGTTTTTGCAGCTAGTGGTGTGCTAGCTGCGTTGCTGATTGCTATATTTCTGGACGAGATCAAATCTGACCAAGCAGAGACTGAGAAAGAAATACTAGAGACACCATCCTTTTGGTCTACGTTCCTAGCAACTTTCCAGCATCTTAAAGATAAAAGACAGTGTCTTCTAATCCCTCTGACAATGTACAGTGGGTTTGAACAGGGATTTCTTTCTGGTGACTACACAAAGGTGTGGAGGACAATGTAAATCTATTTCTGTCTGACTGGTTTTTGTGCCTTTGTGTCTTACTATTGCATCTGATCTATATTTACTTGTTAAATGAAGATGTTTTCAATGGCGATTGGTGGTTTGCTACATTACTGCTTACTTCTACTTGAATGAACTCTGAGTGACATCTTCAAACAGGAGAGGCCAGCAGTAAATATGTCCCTTGGAACAGCCTCAAAAAGAACGCTGTAGAGAGCTTAACTCACCAGTGGAGGCCACAGCAGAGAGCTACAGGTTCAAAATCTTCAGCTTGTTGTAAATAACAAACTGGGAGAAAAGCCAGAAGTCTGCGAAGCTTTTTTATCTTCCTTCCTTCTGGTTTCCCTAGAGTTTGTATAAGTGCAAGTCAGCACACATATCACGTATTTTATTTTGACAACCTTTACGGTAAGAGAGCAAATCCTCAACATGGCTGGCTGAAAGCCCTCACCAGTCACGAGTGCAACAGGTCCAAACCCTGATGGACTGAAATGATCAAAACCACCTCTGCTCCTCCACTTTCTCTACAAACGTAGACACACAAGCAGGTGTGTTCTCCAGACACTCAGTGAGAAAGCCTCCAAAGAAAGGGGGCAATCTTCCTGAGCTGCTTATCTGAGACTTAAGCTTTTTTTTTAACCTTGCATATAAGCAGATGGAAGAGCGCACTTGCTGCTGTGTTTGAATGGATTGAAAGGGGTACTCCATGGCCACCTCCTTTGGTCTTATGCTTTGATAGGTGAGGTCCTCTTCATTTCCTGGGAGCTGCTCTGTAATGACCATAGTGCTGACTGTCAATTTTCATCTCTTGGGCTGTGAAGGGAAGGGCCGAAAATTCCTAGTGCCACTTCCAGGAGTTTTATTTGCATAGCGAGCAGTGGTCTGATTTCTTCTGCTTGTTACTGCTCTGTTTGCATGGCATCAGTCTGGCTGGGAACTGGGTTGGGAATATTGCTGCTGAAGGCCAGCTATGTCAATACACCAGGGACTTGTCAGCAAACTCTATAGCTGTGCTCCTTTGATCTTGTCCATGCTGGCTATTTACCAAATACTCAGGCTAAGACCCTTGAACCTTAGCTGAATGTTTTCACTGAAGAAAATGTGACACCACTGCCTCTTCTCTTCCAGACATACGTGACCTGTGCCCTGGGGATACATTACGTTGGTTATGTGATGATCTGCTTTTCGGCTGTAAATTCCCTCTGCTCTCTGCTCTTTGGAAAGATCTCTCAGTTCACGGGTAGAAAACTTCTATTTGCATTAGGTACGTAAAAGTCACTTGAAGGACTGATTACCTCATGTAATACATGAAATCCGGTGTTCCCTCCTTTACATGCACTACAAAGGGAGAGCTCACTGTCAGCTATCAGTTAAAACCAAAGTCAACCTGAACCCAAACTTCATTCATGAGAAGAAAGGCAGCACAGTTAACCCCTGTATTCAGGTCATTGCCTTACATCACTTTGCTGGTGGTGTAGTTCACCCTGCTATTGAGGGCACTATCTACTCAGAAAGTGCCCTACAGCTCTGATGCTTTATAGCTTTAATGCAACTAGTGATAAATGATTTTACGATACAGATGTTGAGGCCTACACTATACCTAAGAGGGATTTCTCCACCGGGGTGAAACCTTTATGGAGCAAAAGCAACTGAGAACCTTGTGAGATACGCTGTTGATTTGCGTCTCAGGGGATGGTAAACTTGGAAATTTCAGCAACCGGTCTGGGAATTTCAGGAAGATTTTTAAAGGTTAGCCTGGTGTCCTTTTCACTACTTGTTCTGTAGGAAGAAAAAGAAAAGAAAGTCATATGCCAGTGTGTCAGGCTAGAGTAACTTGAGGGCTTGTGTATGGGACGGTAATTGTCAGGTTGCCATGAAAAGAGGTTTGTATATTTAAGAGCATCCCTCTCTCCAGAGAACAATGTTCCAATGAGTTACAGGGTAATGGAGGCAGAAAAATACCAAGAAATATTTCATTTGTATCCCTGTATCCACTAAGCATACTGAAGCGTACTAGTACCTTACTTCCACTACATAGTAACCTGTATTGTTAGAAATGTCACTGACTGAGTCAATGTGCATCTAGACATTCTAGGCATTTCCTCCACAGGAAATTTTAAACCTGGGCAAGGAAGAAGAAATTTAGAGTCCTTTATGCTGCAGTCACTAACTCAGAGATTCTTCTGTCCTAGGTCTATATCTCATGCTATGAAACTCATTTTAGATTAAAAAAAATAAATATCATCATAATAATGAAAAACCTATAGTGTTAGTATTGCAAGACCTCTGAACCTCTCCTTTCTGTTTAATAGTCTTTGTACTCAGCCTGTGAAGGTGCACCTGTGGGGGGAGGAATCAGTGGCTCATTTACAAACCGCTTTTAAAAAGAAAGAAAAAAAAGTCACCAGATGCTCTAGATATCCTTAACTGTCTCCTCTGGCCCTGAAAGAAAACCTCCGTTTCAGGACGAGGTAATGAGAGCAGAAGGGTGCCTCACATGGTGACTGCAAGTCTTTCAGCAGCTCCTTCTCCTACTCAGTGGCAGTTCTTGTCCTTTGGGCTAACAGCCGTATCAGCGCCGAGGATCTCTCAGCTCAGGACACTGCTCAGAATTATTAATTGAAGACTGTCAAAGGACTGCATTGTCTTGTATTTCATGTGTTATCAACTCAGTCAGCACAAATCTCAATGAACCAGAAAGATTTTAAGATTGCCTTGTGCTGTAGTTGGGGGAAGAATTTGAAAGTGTTATCTACTGCTATCTGTCCTGTTTTGTAATTGTATTTATATTTCTCTTCTTTTTTTCTAAATCAACAGCCACGGTTACAAATACCACCTGCATAATAGCACTACTGCTGTGGAAACCTCATCCTAAGCAGCTTGCTGTGTTTTTCATATTCCCTGCTCTTTGGGGCCTATCTGATGCCATTTGGCAGACACAAACTAATGGTAAGTCCTGGTGACAATGAAATGTATTCTCTTGAGATATAAAAACCTGCATGTTTGTATTTATAAAGCAACACGTGCATAAAAATCATAATGGGTTTAAGACAGCATGCAAAAGAAATACATTAGCTCATTGGAAAGTAGAAGAAATAAGAATAAGTTGGGAATAAGAAAGTAAAACACTCATTAAACAAATTTTTCCAAGATGAAGAGAGAAGAACACTGCAGAAGATGATAACAGATATTCAGAATAAATATTCTGGAGGAGTATAAGTATTTCAAAGAAAATTAGAAAACTAAGAAGAATGATACATTTAGTCTGTCTTTTGCAATAAAGGAGAGCACTCTGGATAAAAAAATCAACTCGAAGCTCAGCAGCAAAAGAAGCAGCAAATTAGCTGTTAGGAGTTATTAGAAAAAAATTGAAGGAGAAAACCACAGAGAGCAGCACTATGTAACCAAGTAAATCCATGCAGTTCTGATTTGCTCCATTTCAAAAATCATAATCTAATGTGATAAGGCATAAGGCAATAAAAAGGAGCAGAGTCATGGGAGACTTCCCATTGAAGAAAGACTAACAAACTGGAACACTTTAGCCTGGACAAGTGATAAGTAAAGAAAGCGGTCAGTAAGGTCATTAGTAGTATGGAGAAGGTGATTGGAAATTCACTGTTTCTCTTAATAACAGAACTAGTGGCACCAAATAAAGTTATCGGGCAGCAGACTTTACAGAAATCAAAATAAATGCTCTTTTCACACAATGCATAATCAAAGTATGGAATTCATTACCAAAAATGTAAACATTTTTAAGCTGAAATTACACCACTGCAGGGGAAAATGTTCTTGGGGGCTATTAAAGCCTGGTGGTCCAGAGGAAATCTCCAACTCAGAAAGTCCCCATGTCTTTGATTGTCAGAGTCAGGAGGGCATTGAGGCAGAAACATCACCGTATACTTGCCTCATTTCTTACACTCTTATCCTAGGAGTGTGTTACTGGAAGTATACCATTGGACTTCTTACCTAATGCATTACGGTTGTTCTTATAATCTATGTTCTTCTGATTTGTGATACAGTGCAATTATTATGTACTGACAGTTCAGATAATGAGTTGATACAAATCCATAAGGAATAATTTAAACTTATCCCTTAACCAAAACTAGACAAAGTTCTCTTATAGAGATTAAAGACAGACTAAAAAATGCTGGAGAGGGCAAGAAAGAGCTATAGTCTGTGATAACTTGTAGTAAAGTCTGCTCATGACTGTCAGCCACACTCTTTTTAAATCAATGCCATAGCCTGGGTCAGTAAGAGAGTTAAATGCTCTCCCATCTGCTCCTGTACTTTGCCTCTTATTTCAGGAATATTGTTTTCCTGTATCTCAAATTCATATTTGGCAGATGCCATAGGGATATGCATGTGACAGAACTAGCTCATCTGGTCCCACATCAGGTTATGTGTCTTGGTCTCCCTCCCTCTGGTCCCTCTGGTTGCTTCAGTAGCTTAGATGATTTCACCCACTAGATAAGTTGTCATGTTCCTCCTAGAGAGCCAAAGGGAAAACACCACAGTCCTTTGCCCGGCACTGACAGCGATCTCCTTTCGAGCACATGTAGAGTCCCTGCCTCTCCACACAAGGAAGTGACCAGCCGGAATTCTTCTCTGCCTGTCCAGCAGCTCCAGCTCATATCCCTTAGGGGAGAGCTAGTACATACATTGAGAGGGACACCCTCTCATCTTCTCTCATCCCAACCCACAGCCTTGTGCCTTTGGTATAATTGTAAATCAGTGCTCGCGTTATTCAGGTTCATGGAAGGAGAACACCAGTGAGGATTTTCTCTCTCTGAAGTAAAGCTGTTCATTCACTTCCTACTTCTTCAGCCACAGTCCTCCTGACTGCTCATCAGGCTTCTTCCCAACACTCTTGAGAGCCGTATCTTAGTCTCCCACTGGGATAAAAGACCTGCCTTTTGTCCTGCTTCTTTCTTTTCCAGAAAGTCTTGCCCTCAGACACTTGGCTTCTTTCAGAATCACAGAAGGGTTGAGGTTGGAAGGGACCTCTGGACATCACCTCGTCCAACCCCCTTGCACAAGCAGGGCCACCCAGGCAGAGCCAGCTACCCAGGACCATGTCCAGTCAGCTTTTGAATATCTCCAGGGAGGGAGACTCCACACCCTCCCTGGGCAACCTGTGCCAGTGTTCAGTCACCCTCACGATGAAAAAGTTTTTCCTGATGTTCAGAGGGAACCTCCTGTGTTTCAGTTTGTGCCCATCGCCTCTTGTCCACTTTTCACACCACTGAAAACAGCCTGGCTCTTCAGACCAAACTCTTCAGGGATTTACATACATTTGAGATGTCCTTTGAGAAGGACATCTCCTCTGTAAGGTCCCTGCATGCCTGACAAAGACAGACCTGATGCCCTCGTTAGGAAAAAAGAGGTAAGTACAGAGGACCTAGGTGTCAGAGAAGGTGGCTGGGAAGTGGCTGCAGTTCCCAGCCCCCAGATGAGGCATAGATGGTGGACAGTGCTTCATGCTTACTGGATGGCGAGTGAGCCCAACAACTATGTGACAAGACTGACCTCTATTACAGCACTGTAACAGGTCATCTCCGTTCCCAGATTCTTGTGATACTTGTGAAAATTTCATGTTTGTGTCAGCTGGGAAAAAAACAGATATTCCTTACGCTTGCACAGTATCTTTTTTTGTCTGTACCTTCTTCAGCTGTTCCACAGCTCCCAGTTATAAAATTATAGAGTGTGCTTTGTCACATTGTCACACTGCAACATCGAGTGATGACGTGAAACCTTATCAGAGAGGTGCAGTGACAATACTCCATAGTGCTGCATCCCAGAACAGGATCTTCAGTTTGACATGCCCATTTAGGACTAAATCTCTTCTTCCCTTCATCAGTTTTATACAGATATACATCACATGAGATATTCCCAGCTCCAAAGGCTATGAGGTGAGATAAGACCTCTAAAACAGCACTGGGGACTAAGGTTTGTGGTCCTTCCTTTGGCAGGCTCCCATGACTGTTGCTTGGGCCTCAGTAGATTAACCACTGAACAAATACAATGGCGTTGTGCCACATACTTAAGGCATTCCATGGTAATCGAAATGGCTTACTTTGGCCTGCTGTAGATAGTTAATACTGGAGTTCCCCCTAGAGGATATATAGGCTCACAGTAGATGAGTGGCTTCATGAGATGAAGGTTTCCTAACATGTTTGTGTACACGTGTGGACACTCTCATTTATTTCCAAAGAAAGCTGCTTCATTTCAGAGTGTGTAGTGCCCTCTCTTATCTAGCCTGAACACAGATGCTATTCTTACCCCACCGGCAATAACTGCACTTGGGGCATACCAATTGTGTAGCACAAGACCTATCAGGCAGACTACAGTAAAATAAAGTTCCTTCCAGGCTGACGTGCTTCTTTAGAAAGGATATGAATCAGTCTGGAAAGTTTGTAAACCTGGATTCAAATAATTTCCAGCAGTCCTGTTATAAACCCATGCCTACTAGTACCAGGGGAAGGAGTGGGAAAATGGGCAGTGGTAAACAGGGAGGATAATTTCCATGGAAATGAGCTGCAAGAATTCAGACCTAACAGCCTCTCCACTCACCCAGCCTGGCAGGTCCTGCTAAAGCTTCAGCCAGGCAACTTGCACCACACTGCACTTGACAGTGTTTGTGATAAGGACAAATGTTTAGGTTCGAGGCAAAACCACCATTGTGCTTCTATGTAACTGCTAGCTAATACCACATATGCATCCTGGAAACGAGAACTTTCCTGCCAAGTCAGCCCTTCCTATAGCTGAACCTTGGACTAGATGCTCACTCAATTCTCCCATTGTTTTGATTGAAAAAAAAGCTTCAAAATAGCAAGGGAAAACAGGTACCAGCTGAAAGCCAGAATCTTTACACATAGAATTGTTATGGCATCAGAAATCTTCCTATATTAAACTCTCCTCATTAATCCCTTTCCAGAAGATAACACAGGGCACACCAGCAAAGTTATATGAACAACTTGTACTTGTTCATTTATTAGGCAAAACTATGAAGGATTATCAAATAATTCACACTACACTACACTCAGGCAGTTTAATGAACTAAGTACATCTTGTGATGCACTTATCCAGATTTTCCATCATGTCTAAATTGAAACATGCAGTAAATGTCCTCTTACAGCTATCAGGATGCAGTAAGTTTCTAGATACAGATGATGTCTCCCCCTTCTTAACAAAACCAAAGGGTTAGTTGAGCCTACCTCCACTTCTAGAGAACTTTGTATTCCTCTGTGCCTTTTGGCTGAATGTGCATATTTCAAACAGATGTGGCGTTAGATAGAGAAGTGGATGAGAGGAGTCAAGGTTCACGCTATTCCCCCCCTTCCCTCTCTGCACACCACAGCTGAGTCAGTGGAAACTCCCGCTGCTTTACCACCACCGATGCTAGCTCAGAACCCAGAGGAAAGCAAGCTCGCTCCCCTTCCCTGTGTGCCCAACTAGTCAGACCTGGAGGCTGGGAATCCCTCCCTGACTCCCAGCTGTGGGGGTGTACAGCTGACTGAACTCAGTGGGAGCTTCCCAGTGAACACAACTGCATTAGGATGATGATCAGTTTAACTAAGTCTCTATGTCAAGCAACTTTCCCAGTCGTTGCCCAGAGGTTCTGTATGTATCAAGGATATTCTTTTTGTCAACCCATCCAGGAGCTGAAAATTGGAAAACCTGGTTATCTCCGAGATATCCTCTGCATATTAAATCTGAGCCCTGCTGTAGTGCTCTCCTCAACTTTCTGATTTAAGTGTTTGGGATCAGTTTGTTTCTCTTAACTTGGCAAGTATGAATAGCAGACTACCATCAGCAACACTGTGCGAGCCTCACCTGGAGGCTCCCTGCGGCCAAGTTCTGGTGAAAACAAGGGACATGCATTTTACGTGAAGAGTTTCTGCATGTTCTTAGGCAGGGGAAAGAAATGGTTTGAAGAACAGGTAGGCAGTGCCTGCAGGGTCCATGCAGGTTCCCACAAAAAGTGGTGAAGGATGGCAGCAGGGAGGTCCCTATAGTTCTTTGATCCTTTCTACCCCACACTGAAAGAGCAGCTTGGTCCCCAAGGATGGTGTTGTCCCTAGACAAAATCGCCTGTTCTGTGAAAGTCTGTAAGGACTTGGTATCACCTTCTCAACCTTCTTATACATGGAGATTCTGTGGTGCCAAGGGCCATTGCTGGCCATCTCCTTTTCCTCCTTACTTACCCACTCATCAGTGCAAGAACTTTCCTTTTTGTGGCTGGTAGTTTGAAAAATAAACTTCCTGCCATCTCACTTCAATAGAGCCCATCCTTTCTTCCTTCCTCCCATTTTCTTTCCCTTTTTCTCTGATATTCTCTATTTTGTCATTGTTGCTCTGTTATTTCACTTACAGCAATTCACAGGATCACAAAAATATTTCAAGACAAAGCTTATATTTTCCTTTCTCTGACATTTATGAGGGAGGGTCTATCTTCCCCATTGTGGTGTACTTATTCCCCTTGCAGGAAATACATGGTTGCAGACCTAATCTTCACAAGCTGTGTCTCTCCTTCCTTCTAGGACTCTATGGCATTTTATTTGAGAAACACAAGGAGGCTGCCTTTGCAAATTACCGTCTCTGGGAATCATTTGGATTTGTCATCGCCTTTGGTTATAGCACCAAATTGCAAGTCTACATCAAACTGTACATTTTATTGTCTGTGCTTGTGTTGTCTATGGTGACATATGGAGCCGTTGAATACCTTGAAGCTAAGAGCTCCCCTGGGACACCTACTGCTACAAAGAAGGAAAATGTAGAACCCCCCACCCAGGAATCAAGCATGTAATCCAACAGGGTCAGAGCAATGGAGGCAAAGCAAACTGGCCAGCACCTACAGGCATGTCTCCAAGGGTGTTCCAATGTGTACTGTCTCCAAAAAGATGGTAAAGGGACAGATTTCAAGGCCACTATAATGCAACTGTCTTGGGAGTAAAAATCTCTTTTGACACATCAGCTTTATAAGGGAAGATTATCTGACTTCACCCTTTCATCCGGATGACCAACTCAATGTTTTCTCCTTTTTTTAATTAATAAAGTCTTAATAAATGTAAAAAAGACTCTTAAAATCCTCACATTTTTGTATCTGTGGATCAGACTTAGTACCACAGTTTTACAATCAAATCTGAAAAGCCCACATGTGAAATAAGAAGATGACAGCAACTGTGGTTGCTCAGCTGATGGTGGACAACACATCATTTCATGGAACCACTAATTATGAAGATTTACATTGTTCTTACTCTGCATTCTTTAACACTTGCCATAAATAACATCAGGTTATAAACTGGCTATAGCTACAGTTCCTATCTGAACACCACAAAATCCACTAACCACTGAGTCCACCAACTTGTCTTAGGTCAGCAGACAACTGTGTTTCTGCCCATGTCATCCCTCTATCCCAGCACTCTTTCCCTTTTGGTTTTCCTGTCTCTAATTCTTCTGTCACCACTTACAGCAGCTTTCCCCCAAAAGAGATGCCTTCCACATGACCTAATACTTCCGTCATGATGAACTTTCCCCACTTTCCCATCCACGGACAGAGCCGTTTTCAAGATAAGTGGCCAGGGTGTGTTACTTGGGGAACCAAGCCATGAAGCAGATACAGATAACAGCGCAAGTCATAGAGTGAGAAGGAGAAAAGGAGGATGGGCCTATGCTGTAATATCTCCTTGAGACCTATATGCATCTAGCAGTGGCTCAGGTGAGGATATCCCTCATCTCATTTCAACTTCTGTTTAGTTTTACCCATACTATAATGTTTCCAGATTTGGATTTTTGTGGTTTTACTGCAAGGAGAGGAGTGCTACAGTGCAGTTACTGGGCAGCGTCCCTACATCTTGATGAGAAGGCACTGTACAGGTATCATGATCATTACTGGTAATGACACTATGATCAGATCCTCTGTGTGAGGCAGGCAGCATAAAAGGAATTGAAGACAAATGCTGTTCATCTCCAAGATTAGTGCTGCCCCTGGAAATAAACTACATGGCTAGTTAAGTTGCTGCATGCCACGAAGCTAACATTTGAAACTACTTCTCAGTTATTAACCGTAACAGCAGGATGAGGCACCATATGGCATGACAACATGATAGAAATCAATAATACAATTTATGTGGAAAAAATCCCCAAATTGTTAGGGCTTTTAAATAACAGTACCTTTCATGCTACTTTACTATCTCTCTAACATTTCTTGTTCCCAAGTATCTGGACTCCCCTCCAGACTTCACCTGTGTTGATTCATGGCTTTTCAAATGATAAGCTTCTTTTCCAGGTCATACAATTAAGTAGAGTTCATTACAACCTGCAGAAAATAAGGCAACAGGTGGGCTCCCTCACAGATCCACCTTTCTTTTGTGCCTTTGCCCTGTCAGCTCAAAGGCATGCTGTTAATCTCTGTTGGAAATACAAATGGCAAAACTACTGTGGCTGCAGAATCCTGACAGCCTCACAGCTGCCCAGAGATTACAGATGGATTTGCTAGGCTGCTGCTGATTCTCACCCTGCCCTGCTTCCATCCGATATAGAAAATTGATTTCATCTCAATAACAGACAGTGAAACACATCTCCAAATCCTCCTCTGATTCTCTTTTACACAGCAATGTTCAACAGCAAGTGAAGCAAAGAGGATTTTTGAGATCAACATCAGTGAAAATCTGATCTGTGTGAATGTAATCATTTATTGTTTATTTGTAACAGCCCCACACAGAAATCAGGATCTCTCTATGCAAGATGCTATACAACCTCAGAACAAAAAAGATGATCCCTCCCTCAGAGGCTATACAGCTTGATAAGTTTTTCTCTTTACTCCTGTACTGGGTCTGGCTGGGATGGAGTTAATTTTCTTCATAGCAGCCCATATGGTGCTGTGTTTTGGATCTTTGTAACTAAAACAGTGTTGATAACACACCAGTGGTTTGGCTATTACTGAGCAGTGCCTGCACAGATCCAGGTTTTGTCTTTTTCCCACTCTGCCCCTTCAGTGAGTAGGTGCCCAAGAAATTGGGAGGTGACGCAACCAGGACAGCTGAGACAGATTGACCAAAGGGATATCCCATTCCACATGATGTCGTGCTCAGCAATAAAAGCTCTGGGGAAAGGAGGAAGAAGAGGGGATGTTCCTCATTATGGCATTTGTCTTCCCAAGCAATTGCTATGCACTCCGAGGTCCTGCTCTCCAGGAAGTGGCTGGACACCTGCCTCCCAATGGGAAGTAGTGAATTAATTCCTTATTTTGCTTTGCTTGCACACACAGTTTTGCTTCACCTGTCAAACTCTCTTTATCTCAACCCAGGAGTTTTATCACTTTGGCTTTTCTGATTCTCTCCCCCATGACATTGGTGGAGGGAATGTGTGAACAACTACAGTTAGGTGGGTGCTTTGTTAGTGGCCAGGGTCAACCCAGCACACCTCCTTGTTTTGTACTCTGTGTGCCCAGGATTTGTCTAAAGTAAAATTCAGCAATGGCATCCCAGCAAGCGGCTCCTCAGTCCACAGATTCCAGCCAAAATGGTGAGGAGCTACCAAGAAGCAAGAAAAAGGTGCTCTGACCTTAGAGACAATCTCAGTATCACTGACACACAGTCAGCATGGGAGGCAGGACCTTGGGGCCTGTGGTTTGAGGAGCTGTTTTCCACTCTTGATTTTGCCACAGAACTTTACTGCAGTCATTTCCACAATTGTGTAAGGGGAAAAACAACTCTTCCATCCCACAGGTAGCGTGAGGAAAAACTCTGTTACCTTCATAATGAAAGCCACAGCTGCACGTGGTGATGCAGTGAACATGCTTATTCCTGGGACAGGGTGAGGATCTGTCTTGGACATGATCTAAATGGAAATTGCGATTTAGGACATCATTATGCACGGACAGTACACAGTTATAAAATTTATGTGGGTTTTTTTACTATAAAGGCAATAGGGATTTTGCTGCAGAGCATATAAAAAAAACTTCAGGCGCAAGTTCAGCTAGGGACACCTCTTCACTGAAATGCAAGAAACAAAATGATGGTTGAGGTTGCTGTGGCATGAGGCCTCTGCCCTTTCATGGCCAAGGACGACTCCACGAGCCCTGCTTCAGTCTAGCAGGCAGCGAGCAGCGTAGGTCTGTTCCCTGATACCCTCAGTCCCAAACTGCGGTTCCCTAGAAGTACAGAAGGAGAGCCAGGCCTTCACGCAAGAGAACCGTGAGACAATGAGGTAATGAGGACACCGAATGAGGAGCCACCTATGCCAGACAGGAGGAGAGGCCCTGAGAAAGGACAGCCGAGCCATTTTTTCCAGAGACTCCAGGGACCGAGGCTGGGTCACACACCAATCTCTGTTGAGGACATAGGTGTTGGGGAGCCCGTGGATCATGCCATTCATCTGCAAGGCAAGATAGTCAGGTTCAAGTAATTAATATTGACACATCAAGTGATTGCTTTCATGAGGCACGCAATATCACGGCGTCTTCTCGCATGAGCCAAAGGTCCAAGCAGCTGGAGGGTCTCAGATGCACGCACAGGAGGTGGGAGACATGACGGGCCTCTGGTGGCATCCTCACCTCCCAGGACACCCTTCCCGGGCACCCTGGGGGTGCATCTTCCCTCAGCAAAAAGGCTACAAACGGTTAAAACGAACAGCCCCAACCCCTGAGAGGGAGAAGCTGGGGCAGCAGCGGAGGGGGGCGGTGCTCAGCCAGGCCCTGGCGACCACAGCTTTAAATATTAATACTTTTGCTAATACGAGCAGGATGTGCGCCGGTGCTCGTGCCTTCGGGGAGGTTGGTTTGATGGTGGTGGCAGCGTCTCACGGCTGACAGACCACGGTGTCCTCACAGAAAGTGCCCGTCAGCCCTCTGCCCCGGCTGCAGCCCAACGCCAGGCGCCTGCGAGAGTCACCGGACGAAGCTGTGTAGCCTGGGACAGACAGGGAGAACCTGGATGGTGGACCAGAGGGGAACCACCACCTCAGGAAGTAATTAAAATGGTTATTTCTGAAGGTAAATCCCAAGGCGGGCAGCTGCCAGACCCACGTTATGATCTGTGAACCTGAGGGCTCAAAGACGATAGGTAAGACCGCCAGTCAGTCCACTGAGTTTAATTACGCAGAGGCATTCCGCATTAACTCAGCAGACACGCACATTTAATGCCTAACCATTAAGGATCATTATTTCCTCTCACAGGTGTAAAACCGAGCAACTGGAAGCGGCCACGGCCAGCACGAAGCCCGAGCTCATGTGAGCGCTCCCCCCGGCACGCCGGCGTGGGGTCTGCCGCCACGGCATGGAGGACGGCATCCTGCTCTCCTCGGGGCGAAGGTCTCCGCTTCTGGGTGCCGGTCAGCGACGGCGGAAGGTAGGTGTTAAAATCGGTCGTGGTGGGAGACAGCTGTAGCAGTTTTTGCATTGTGGAATAATGTCTGCAAACACGCAGGTGGGTTTCCAAGCTATTAAGGAATGGGCTGCACACAGAGCCCTGTGGGAATGCAGGCTAATGAAGAGATGGGCATTCATCTGGGCATACATTTATACCGATGTCCTGGTTTCAGCTGGGATAGAGTTAATTTTCTTCCTAGTAGCTGGTATAGTGCTGTGTTTTGGGTTCAGTATGAGAAGAATGTTGGTAACACACTGATGTTTTCAGTTGTTGCTAAGTAGTGTTTAGACTAACTCAAGGATTTTTCAGCTTCTGATACCCAGCCAGTGAGAAGGCTGGAGGGGCACAAGGAGTTGGGAGGGGACACAGCCAGGACAGCTGACCCAAACTGGCCAAAGGGATATTTTATACTATGTCACGTCATGGCCAGTATATA